TAAATAAATTTTGTTTAACTGATCAGAATAAATTAAATAATTAAATACATTCTGTTTAACTGATTAGAATAAATTAAATAATTAAATAAATTCTGTTTAACTGATCAGAATAAATTAAATAATTAAATAAATTCTGTTTAACTGATTAGAATAAATTAAATAATTAAATAAATTTTGTTTAACTGGTCAGAATCAATGATCAACAATCCAAAAGCTAAAGCTGAAAGACCTGGACATGTTTGGTTCAGAACAAGAACTGAACCAGTCCACAAGAACCAGCCTGGGTTCTACACGCGGCCCACGTCCTGCAGCCTTCGGCTGTTCTCTCCATTCACTGCAGCCCCTCGTTTATCACGGGATATGTTCTGGACCCCGTGATAAACGAGGGGCTGCTGTAAAGCCCAAACATTTTCTGTGATCCAACCGCTCGTTAAGTAGCCACTCCAGCAGTTGATTGACAGGTGTCATTGGCTGATTGACAGCTCCGTGTTTGTGTGTGCAGCCGTCGTGCAGGGCGACACCCTGGAGGAGATCTACGATCAGGCGAAGCAGATCATCGAGGAGCAGTCGGGTCCGTTCATCTGGGTTCTGTCCAAGGAGAAGTTATGAGACGCTCCTCATCTTCATCACTCTTCCTCTTCACGTTCACTTTGTTTTATTTTGAAAAGAGGCGGCCTCTTCCCTCCACCCCCCAACGATCAGCAGACATGTTGTAGATTTACCTGACTGGACGCCATCTTTGGTTTCTTGTGTTAAGCACACAGGAAGTGACATCACACTCGGTACGGCTCCTTAATGTTTAAGGGAGGAGAACTTTGCAGGAGAAGAGGAGTTCAGGAGACGTACGAAGCAGATTTTTATTTTTATTATTTTTGTGGGGTTTTCCCTTTTAGTCTTGTAACCAGGTGGGCAGAGCCTCAGTCTGAGGCAGAGGTAAGGTAACCAGGTGGGCGGAGCCTCAGTGTCTGGATCAGAGGAGAACGAGACACAAAAAGCAAAACTTTGCACGTTTGAGCTTTAACAGCATGTCAGTGAACCCTGTTAATTTCCCATCAGCCCTTTCACCTCAACGTCTCGGCTTTTTTTTTTTTTACGTCATAGAAACTTGTTTTTGTTGCTCCTCGCCGCTGCAGGGCGTCGGTCAGGACGCTGCAGGCTCGCTGCTCCGCTGCCGGGGGGCGCCGTGGAGCTCGACGCCCACGTGTGACATTTCAAACTTAACGACAACAAAGATCAAACTCGGGGTCAAAAATCAGTTCAGTGCCAAAAACATTTAGAAGGACAAGAAAAGACTTTTACAAGATAAACAGTTTATTACAGCAACGTTTACATTGTTACACAGATCACTATTTTAACTACGAATAATTCACATTAATTCTATTGTTAGTTTTAGATTTCACCAGATTGTGCCAAAAGAATTAAAAATATATTCATGTTTACACCTTATTTCATTATTGTGCAAAAAAACTGCTGAAGAAACGTCATTTAAATAAAACTTTATTAAATTAAATGTATATTTAAACTTTTTCCAAAGTTGAGCAAAAGTTTTTTTAACCTATTTAAGAAAATTTAGTTACCGTAATTTCCGGTGTATAAGCTGCTACTTTTTTCACAGGCTTTGAACTCCGCAGCTGATTTAAAGATTTTTATTTTATTTTATCATTTTGATATTTTATTTTGACAGGCTATCGAGCTTCCTGCCTCTAAAAACATTTTGCTTTGTTGCACCCGAGCGCTCACGTAGCTGCCCAACACACGTCTCTCTTGTGGGGAGGGGTCCTCATGACACGGAGTGAAGCCCACAGGTCGTCATGACAACCGCCTCCCTCACTCGTGGTTACTGACTGGACCAACACAATGAACGGACTACCTCATTGGTTAATTGTGGCTAACTTCTGGTCACATGACCTCAGAGAGGGATTATGGGTAAAATGTAAGTTCACTGTTAATCATTTAGTTTGTGTTGGTCCATTCAGTAACCATGAGCGAGGGAGGTGGTTGCCATGACGACCTGTGGGCTTCACTCTGTGTTGAACAGGAAGATGAAGTTTATAAAACTCCACCTGGTGGTTGATTCTTGATCTACAACAAGCTGCACATCTGTCTCAGCAGCTGTGCTGACACATGTTGCAACATGAACACCTGCAGCTCATACACAGGCGTGCTACTTAGTCAGGTGCACTCTATAGATCGGCCCTTACGGTAATTTACAAAATTATCTGTTCAAAAAATATAATTTAGATAAAACATTGGAAGTTTGTTTACAAAATTTTACTCCATCCATCCATTATCTTTTACCCGCCTCTTCCATTTTGGGTCACGGGGGTCGCTGGTGCCCATGTCCGTCAATCACTGTGCGAGGGGCGGGGGACACCCTGGACGGGTCTCCAGTCCATCACAGGGACACATAGAGACAAACGAGACAAACATTCTCTCTCTCTCAGCTAGGGACAATTTAGAGTCACCAATCAGCCTAGCATGCATGTTTTTGGTCTGTGGGAGGAAACTGGAGCACCTGGAGAAAACCCACACATGCACGGAGAGAACATGCAAACTCCACCCAGAAAGGTGATTTAAAACAAAAAAGTTTATTTAAAAATGTATTTTATTAAAACTGTACTTTAGTACAAAATAGACTCAGTTGCCTTAAATGTATAAAACAAAATATATTAAATATTAAAACATTCTTATAAATTTATTTGCACATCGTATAAAATTTACAAAACATAAACTTATGTGGATTTTATTGCAGGAGAATAAAAAAAGCGGAAAAACAACCAAGTTTTATTATTTTAAAAATAATCCTAAACTAAAAAAAAAAGCTGGTCGTTCGGAGCGGCGCCCTCCTGCGATGCGAGCGTGAGCCCTGGTGGTCGTCACGGCGACATCCCTCAGTGGCATCAGTGTCTTACCACGCCCACGATGTGGATCATGTGACCTGGGGGGCGGAGCCTGTAGCTGAGCTGCCACCTCCAGGCGTCCTCAGGTGTGGACAGGATATTTAACCCTCGGTAAACTGCCTATTTTCTTATAATAAAAGTCTATATTGAACTCTGAGCACTACGGGATTATTTTCTTTGCATTAATCATAAATGATAGAAAAGTGTAAAAATATTTTAAAATGTTTGTTTCTCTGATCACCTCCTCCTTTGTCTTTAATTTTCTTTTTTAAGCATAATTAAAAAAAAAAACTTAACAAGAAAACTTGATGTGGTTCTGATTTTTATTCAGCGGGTAAAACAATTACTTATCTAGTCCTGGCCCTCAAGGGCCAAATGTTAAATGATGGTGGCCCTCGAGGGCCAAATGTTTCTCAAATGATGGTGGCCCTCGAGGGCCAAATGTTTCTCAAGAGGGCCACTCTACTGCAGGTTTTAGCGCAGAGCATGAAGCGGTGGTTGAACCGTAGAATCCAGTGGGTTGGAGCAGGAAGCGGGTGAAGCCTGCAGGACAGTTCCAGGACCCTGGCTGGACACGTCTGCTGTAGAGCTGAAACTCGAGGTTTTCTCGCAGTTCAAACATGAACTTGGTTCTTTGTCGTATTCTTGGTGCGTTCAGAGCAAAGACTGAATTTCAGCCTCGTCTTGCTTTTAAAAACGTAATGAACTGAAAACATGTGAAGCGCTGCAGCTGGGATTATGTGAGGGAGTTGGTTTTTATGTTTTTCATGTTCCTGTGGAACAGTCTTCATCAAACTCCTCCCCCTTTCTACACAGAGGACAATCAAATGAATCCTGCACTTTGTTTCTGTCCAAACTTGACCTGTTCTGCACCTTTACTGTTTTTATATTCCGTTAGTTTTTAGATCTTGTGTGATTCATATTGAAACTCTAGCACAACAATGTCCTGCAGGATCAGTAAAGTTCTATGTTAAGGGGAAACTGAAGGTCCTTGACCCGTTCAGCTGGCTCTTCAGGACCTGCCGGACCCTGGTGCTCGGCTGGGGCCGACTCGCTCGGCCTCATGATTACGGTTTCTTGGACTTTTGCACAAAAAGCTCAGCACATGAATCATTTACATGGTGAGGGTTAGGAGGAACTACTTTGTGGGGTGAACAGAATTTTTCAGGTTGTCCCACCTGCCCCGATGGATCGGCGCCGTGATCGCCTCCTGCCCCTCGGAACGTCACTCCCCTGTTCTGGTGAGATGGTAAGAGAATCGATGTCCTCCATGACCCTCACCACCCTGATGATGTGTCGGTCTACAGTTCTGAACAAGCTCCTCGTCTTGTTTCCTGTTTGTGTTGTGGCGGAGCTACAGCGCCACCTGCAGGCTGCATTTAAGCAGATATTTTTAGAAGCAGCCAAACGATTGTTTCTGGGAGGCCTCGGTTATTTCTCCACATAAGTTCTCGAGTTCAAACTGTGACTTTATGGGCAGCGGGCCTTTATCATTTCAATATAAAATGGCTTTTTGATTTACCGTTGCGTCTTCCTCCCAGGGTTGATCATTTAACTGAAGCAGTTGTGACACTTAATGGATCTTTAGGTGACACTTCGTACCCGGGACAAGCGAGTCCAAGCACCGGGCTCTCCAGATCTCATTAAGTTTTTCTTCAGAAAGCATCACCTGCATCATGAAGGACCCCACTCACCCAGCACACACACTTTTTGTTCCACTCCCCTCAGGAAGGAGGTTGAGGAGCATCAAGTGTAGAACCACTAGACTGAGGAACAGCTTCTACCCTGAGGCTGTTAGACTCATGAATCTCTAACCAGAATAATCACTGTGATGACACTGAATTGGTGATATGTGACCGGTGCTGCTGATTATCCATGCTGCTGATCTCTTGCCTTTAAGCTGCTATATTCATAGCCATCTGCTCACTACAGACTCATGTTCAGGCTGCTGTTTAATGCACCGTAATATATTACATTATTAGTGTTTAGTGAATATCTTAGATCCTTGTATACAGTTTATTTTTATACTTTATATTTTTTGCTATTGTTGGATGTAACTGGGTCCTTGAGTACATAATTTAGTTCCACCTCATGCATCACGTGATGAGAAAGACAATAAAGAACGATGAACCAGCAGCTTTTTATTAACAAAAATAAAACCAGATTCAGTGACAGAAACTGGACCTTTCTGCACTGGGCAGTTTATAATAAATCTAAATAGAACTGAACAAAAATGAAGATGTTACACAAACATAAGATTTTGACCTGTCAGTGTCTTACCTGCAGCCAGATGGATCTCAATTTGGAGAAGCGTTTGTCCTCAGAGGACACGTTTCATTCATCAGGACCTCACTGCTGAGGGGCTTTCAGCCTGGGTCCCCTCAGGATCCGGGTGGTGGCTTCAGGTCTTTGGTTGTGTTTTGGTGCAGGGTCTTCAGGACCGAGTCTTTGTCTCCTGCAGGCTGAGGTCTTCAGGACCGGGTCTTTGTCTCCTGCAGGCTGAGGTCTCCAGGACCAGGTCTTTGTCTCCTGCAGGCTGAGGTCTTCAGGACCAGGTCTTTGGGTCCTGCAAGCTATCGGGCCTTTGTCTCCTGCAGGCTGTCAAGGTCTTTGTCTCCTGCAGGCTGAGGTCTTCAGGACCGGGTCTTTGTCTCCTGCAGGCTAAGGTCTCCGGGACCGGGTCTTTGTCTCCTGCAGGCTGAAGTCTCCAGGACCGGGTCTTTGTCTCCTGCAGGCTGAGGTCTTCAGGACGAGTCTTTGTCTCCTGCAGGCTGAGGTCTTCAGGACCAAGTCTTTGTGTCCTGCAGGCTGTCAAGGTCTTCAGGACCGGGCTTTGTCTCCTGCAGGCTGTCATGGTCTAAAGGACCAAGTCTTTGTCTCCTGCAGGCTGTCATGGTCTTCAGGACCGGGTCTTTGTGTCCTGCATGCTGTCGGGTCTTCAGGACCGGGTCTTTGTGTCCTGCAAGCTGTCGGGTCTTCAGCCCACCATCTTGACCCATCTTTGACCTTTAATGACCCCGACGATCAGCCACACCCATAAATTATCTTTATATTTGGGGGAGTGGTGGCGCAGATGTTAGAAGATGAGCCTGTGTTCGGAAAGTCGCAGGTTCAACTCCCAGTACCGTCAACATCAAAATGTGGGTGAAAAAGGCGAAACATTCACACCTGCCTCCACCCTCATTCGCCCCAATCTGGGCCCCTGAGCAATGCCCTTAACCCCCACCATCTGCTCCCAAAACAGGTCTCTCTTGAAAATGAGTTCAAGACTCAATGAGACTACCTGGATAAATACAGGTCCTTCTCAAAAAATTAGCATATTGTGATAAAGGTCATTATTTTCCATAATGTAATGATAAAAATGAAACTTTCATATATTTCAGATTCATTGCACACCAACTGAAATATTTCAGGTCTTTAATTGTTTTAATACTGATGATTATGGCATACAGCTCATGAAAACCCAAAATGCCTGTCCCAAAAAATTAGCATATTTCATCCCACCAATGAAAGACAAGTGTTTTTAATACAAAAAACTCCAACCTTCAAATAATCATGTTCAGTTATGCACTCAATACTTGGTCGGGAATCCTTTTGCATGAATGACTGCTTCAATGCGGCGTGGCATGGAGGCAATCAGCCTGTGGCACTGCTGAGGTGTTATGGAGGCCCAGGATGCTT